CCAAAACAGAATAAATTAAATCGGTCCAGCCGTTCATGCTGTGACCAAGGGAAAAAGGAATTCATTTTTATATAGACTATCGATGAAAACAGATCAACAGATGACATCACAAAATCCTTCATCGCACATGTGAAGTTTACATGCGAATTAACACGGATAGAAAATCCCAACGAACAACTGTTGGGCAGAAAGCCCACCAACCACAAACGCCTCGCCTGGTCGGAGGATCTTCCTTTTATTTATTTATTTATTTATATATGCTTTATTGTACACATTTATGTAGTTTAAAACAAACAATTCAAGTAAATATGCGTACAATGGGCGGTCTTATCACACAATGGTGATTTCTTCCAGACAACCTTTGGATGGAAATATTTGTAAGAAACCAGATAAGGGGTAGTTACGTGTACAATAAAATAAAAAAAAAAGACAAAATAAAAAAGCCTACAATACAACCTACAATAGATATAATATACTAGCAACATATAAAAAGAAATACATAAATAATATACAAAAATACAATAAGCTATGTGTGTGTGTGTTTGTGTATGTGTGTATGCGTGTGTGTGTGTGTTTCAGATCTTTGGGAACTTTAGTCTCTGTTCCCTAAATAACTTTGAGCTGTTTATAACAATATGATATTAATTACATCTTTATAGAGAGGTCGTAATCAAAACTATATGTCGGGCATGAGATCATCATGGTCAATCTACTTCTACATAATATTTTTTTTTATAAACTATGTTTTTAAACCGACATTAACTTTCTTTTTTAAAGTCCGTTAATTAATATACTAAAGCCTTCTCCAACGTGTAACAAACATTTTTCTGAAACTTGCATCAAAATTGGTTCAGCCAATCAGTAGCTAATCAAGCACAAACATACATACAGGTATAACTGAGTACTTACTTATTTATTGAAGTCGGTTAAAAGTGTTATCTCATTATTTTAAAATTGTCAACAAATAATCAACGCAAGATGGCCGTATTTTCATTCCTTTAGCAAAAATACACTCTCATAGGAGTTTTAAAGTGAATTGTTGGTATCGGAAAATAATGATCGGTTTTTGATCTTAACTGTACGTTACACCTACTCCAACCTAGTTTCCAGGGCTTCAGAATATATAAGCTTCTTGTACAACTAAAAGAATTGACGTTAAATCTTTGTAAGCCTCCTGAATGTTTCAGCACTGAAAAGGTGAGAATTTATAATTAGAAGAAAACAAGTTTGTTTTGAAGTTAATATTAAGATGTAAGCCACTGGGAGACTGGGAGTATTATTTTATAATATGCTCCTGTTACGAAATTTGATAAAAAAAACTGTTATAATAAATGATTTGGTATTTTGGTTACCTTGTTACTCAAAATTTTCATAAGTGTGACTTGTTCGATTTTCAAGTGTTTAATTTTTTTATCTTTACTTAATACTAGCGACCCGCCCCAGCGTCGTACGGGTGCAATATCCATGTATAATATATATGAACATTCCTTAAGAATTACTCTTTCTATTAAAAAAAACCACATCAAAATCCGTAGCATACAAAGGGACAGACAGACGGCGGATAGCGACTTTGTTTTATGCTACGTAGTGAAGGAGTTTTTATTCACATGGATGTATTTTTTTTTATAAGGGGGCAAAATCATCGAATGACTGCTCCCGCCTGGGTGAGGCGGGAGGGAGTGTCAGACTGTTATTGACTAAAAACCACCCCGTTCCTTCTCCTGCACGTCGAGCCGGAGTCCCGGTTACCCGTTAGGTTCTATGTCAACCTCATTGTACGTTATTTATATAATTTTATAAGTTGGGATTCTATACAGATTTCGATAAAAGTTCAAGTATGTTCAAAAACATGTAGGTACCTTATAAACCCCACACACACACACACATACATCGAAAAGTATATAAAAATAAAACCTCACGTCTTATTTTTTATTTCACAAAGCTAGATTCCTTTATAAGTCTCCTCAGTCCGAGGACCAGCGCGTATCTTGTCCTTGCGACTGGCAACTCTTTTGCACAGTTGAGCGCAAAAGGCACTTACGTTCACTCCGCTGACGAGACGCCGAGCGACCAACGAGTCTAATTCAGGAATGTACTATGTTGTATTTTATGTGTTATGATGTTTTATGTTGTTTTATTTTTACATTATGTACCTATAATGTAAGCATTAATTATCGACATTCTCTTATTAGGTGGGAGGATAAGCGGTAAGCCTATTACCATATATGTACCAGTCACAATTCCAGACTTCGTGCTACTACTGAGATTTTTTTAAAAAACCCAGCAGCACTTTATCCGTCCTGCGAATCAAATCCGACACCCCTTGGCCGGCAGTAGCACTTGCAACCACTCGGCCAACGAAGCAGATTTCCATACACAAGACTCTAATCTTTGTTCTATAGTCGAAAACAATTTTCAGTGCAATGAAGTTTATAATTACATAAAACAACACATAATGACAAGCTTCTTATTAATGATAAGGATAGACAGAAATAAACATATAAATAATGTCGTGGTGGCTCGGAAGTTTAAGACGCCCGCTTCTCATGCATGAGGGTGCCGGTTCGAAACCTACCAACGGCAAGTACCAATGTGACTTTTTCCGAGTTATATGTACTTTCTAAGATTATTCAGACACCACTGAAAAACGGTGAAGGAAAACATCGTGAGAAAACCTGGGCTTTTAATTTCTAATTATAAGTTTGTAATCGCCAACCCGCATTGTGCAAGCGTGGTGATTGATGCTCAAACCTTCTCCGTGTGAGAAGAGGCTTTGCTCAGCTGTGGGCATTTATAGGCTATTGATGATGAAACATATACATACTTTTTAACATACATAACACATATTCTGCCTTGTCACCGCGTAAATAGAAAGATATTTTACTCCGAAACAAAATGCTTTGGCGTAAAATTGTATTCCTTTTTATAACCTAGTTATAACGGTCGTATACAATACATTGTTGTCCTAGCTGGGAACGTATTGTATTGTATTGGAGCAGGTTCCGTGTGTATAATTTTGTGTTGGAATAATTTGTGTGTTTGTCTGTTTATGTTCGATCGTGCGTTATTAGTGGGAGGTAACTGGTTGATCGGATGGGAAACATGATACGTTTTAGTTTGATGTATATGTAAAAAAGTATATCTATCTAGAGGTAGGGTATGCACAATATATATATAATATAATAATAAATCATTTATTTTAGGTATAGGAACCCAAAGTAACAATTCACACAACAATCACAAATTTATAAATGACAAAAAAGTGAAATAAAAATTACCTACAGTAGAATAAAATGTTAATTACCTGAAAATTACAATATACCTACGAAATCAAAATTACAATAAAATAAAATTAAAATTATCATC